AAATATAAATATGCAAATATATAGGTATTTACACAAGTTTTGTTGAAACAGAGTTCCTTTTTTAAATTATTCTTTACTTAGCTGTGCTAGGACTTTGTTGTGTGGGTTCTTCTCTTGCTGCAGGAGTTAGGGCTGCTCTCTAGCTGCAGTGCTCAGGCTTCTCACTGTGGTGGCTTCTCTCATTGCTGGTGCACAGGCTTAGTTACTCGGCATCACGTGAGATCCTCCCGGCCCAGGAATCGAACCCCCACATCCTGCATTAGCAGGAGGATTCTTCACCACTGAGCCACCAGAGAAGCCCCAGGGTTCTTTTATTTACTAGATTTATAATAGATAATGTCAACTCAGTGCAATAAGGAAGGACTCCAAGAAAAACTGTTGACTTCAGTCAGAGAGTTCGTGATTTGCAGCAGTGACTGTATATACACGCATACACAAGCATACTCAGTGGTAGAAAGGCAAAGTCAGTTACTGAGATTACCTTTAGGGAATGCAATGGAGTGGAATTTTGAGGGTGGGGAGAATAGTAAAAATGAACTGACCCTTTATTCAATGCACTCTACTGTGTCTGAATTGTCTTGCTTGCTTATGCCTGTTTCTTGTATAATTAAAAATAAAAGATGCTTATTTTAATATGAATAGTCATGCTCATTTCCTTTTATATATAGTTTTTGTTTTAGGGAAAGTTAGACCATAAAAGACTCTTATCCTTGAATAATGACTATCACTACATTTAGCGTTTCAAGCAAATTTATAAATCTAAAACCACGTCAGAATTTCTAGCTGCCACTCCCCAGTACGTCTCCTAAGATTGCATCTGCCTCTGCTACAACATATTACAGCACACGCCTTCACTTTGATATTCGGGTTTGATTGGGAGCCTCCTGGGAACAGAAAGCTGGTTCACTCACCTTGTTTTCCCAGTGCCCAGCAAACAAGAGACTAGTAAAAAGCCTGTTTCCTTCCTTCAAACTACTGTTTGCCAAAGCCTCATGAGTCAGCAAAAACAGTTTTCTCCCCAAATTTCAGGATTAACTACTCTAGTGCTTAAGGGTCTCACTCCTCCATTCCAAGCAGTATACCCAAAAGATTCCTTCTGAATACAGGATGATGTCCTTGAAAGGAGTTCTGGGACATCTCAGCATGTTGAGGTTGTTTCTTAGCACCCACGTAGACACTGGTAAATGGGCGGGCACTTAGGAGAGATCTAGGCTTATTCAAGACACCCATCAGCCCTTGCTTAGGAAACTGCAGTGCCTTCTAACATGTCCCTTCCATGGTCACCCTACACCGCTTTCATCACTTTTCTCCTCCTCCAAACTTTCCATATATTCTGCCTAGTAGATATAACCCAAATTCCAAGGCCTTCAAATCCAACTGCAATCTTCTGTCCAACTTTTTGCCTGCCTCCTCACACAAACCTTCTGACCCAACTTAGACTTGCTGACTCTTTGCCCTGAAGGACATAACTTACAGATCTATTCCCTCTGGTGCCTTGATTCCTATTGCTGCTTTGTTTCCACCTTTCCTATCAGCTTTCCTCTATCCTTAAAAATCCCGCTTACTTCCGCAAGTTTGCCTTGACCACTCCATCCCCCATGATTCTCTCCCTCCTTTAGATGGGACACTGCATTCAATCATCCATTGCCTGTGGGTACCAAGCGTCACGCCGTCAGATTACATATTTAATTTTCAGGTACAAATGCCCCTTCTAGATAAGTCTCCTCAAGGCAAGATATCTAAACACAGCCTTAACACAACTGGATGTGTGTAGTAAGTATTCAACCTATTTCTCCAATATGTCCAATGTTTTACTGAAAAATTTCAAGCAAACAATTACATAAATATCTTGAGCTAGAAAGAGTAGTCATTGTTGTATTATCAGCACTTACAACAGTGCTTGCTTCACTGTAATTATATGACTGTGTGTAATCTATGAATGAGAGCATGCATGAACTAGAAGGCAGTGGAAGATGAATAGGCCAGTTGGTCCACTAGCATTCTAACTTTAATTGAACTGACCAGTCATAGAGACTACAATCTCTCAACACCATCCTGGCATTACTTTGTTCTTCCATGACAGAAAGTCTCAGAATTGTAAGCTTTCACCACCTTCGTAGGCAAGTTCATTCTTATAGTGAATTATTTTTAATAAAATCTATCAAATTTTCTTCTGCTATCACAAAATTTATTTATGTATTAAGATATTTAACTTTGTTACTCAAGGTCATGACATTATGTTAAGGTACCATTACTACAAAGATGTACATTTTCTACACTGTTGTCTTAAAGCAGAGCTCCTGCTATCAATGTTCTTCAAAAGCAGCAGTGATGATAAAGGTGCCCTTACACCATAGCCCCAAACTGGCTACTCTGTTAAGTATGCTTGTAAATTCAGAACTTCCTACCTTTGGCGCCAACACATCCATCTGCACTGGTTTCACAGAAGCAGTCGGTTTCGGGTGCTTGTTAACATTTGTTGTTTTGGTGGGTGGAACAGGTACTTTAGTGTTCTGGGCTTTCTGAAATGAAAAGGAAATGTGAAGAGGGCAAGACAGCCTGTGTTGCCACTGAGTGCTCTATAGGATCAGCCTAGTATGCAGAGGTGCAGCCCTCACAGTCGTTACCTTAGCTACTTGTATGGCTCGGGTTGTAACCCGATTTCCAATTTCTTCTAAAACTGCCCGCCTGATAGTCACATGACTTTTAGGTTTAGAATTAACTCCTGTGTCATTATTCTCTAAATCGGCAGACACCTAAAAAAAAAAAAAGGAAAAAATATTACTGAAAGTTGAGATAATTTACAATATTTTGCTGGTGTCAGATCCTCAGGTTCAGAATTGATTTGGCAATGGGGAATCTACTGAGGTCTATCTGCAAGAGGGAAAAGGTAAATTTTAGGAAGTCTAAAAATGCTACTTTCAATTTATAACACCACTCTAAATTAGGCAAATACACTCATTCACTTTTTTTTTTTAATCCCACTAAGAGCTTCACAGATAAGTGGCTATTTACTATATGGACGCTATATAAGAATGGCATCTATTTCAAAAACTTCCTGGACAGAGATGAGTAACAAGTGCAATTAAGATACAAAATTAAAAAGCTGTTTAAAAGCCAGATGTTTAAAACCTAAAATAGGTTTTGATTCTACAAATAAGAAGTGTTCAGACTGGGAACATCTTTAAAGACAGCATTTTAGCTGTGAGGGGACCACAGCATGTAAGCTCTCTTTTATTAGGGATATTTAGAAAGAAAAGTTTTCATGGATAAAATAGTTTTATCTCAAATTCAGAGAAAGTGTGAATTGTGTGAAATAAAAATTGTTAGCTGACCTTTAACATGCATTAGACAGAATGCACTTAGAAACAAAAACTTGTTAGTAAAAACAAGAAAAGTTTTACATAGAAAAGTTTATTTTATTATATGTGATAAACATTTCAGGAGAAAAAAACAGCATGTACCATTCTTGATAATCTGGGGTCCTAATCTTAACATATTTTCCAACAGAGGGTTTAAATGGACCTACCAGAATAGACAGATGGGCAGGGGAAAACGCAAGCCTTACCTGAATAGAGGGGAATTTGACTATGAAAGCACTTTATGGGGTAGTTTAGACAAAATTACTCATCAGTTTGAGTCAGATTCACAAAAGGGTTACAGTTAAATACAGAATGTATTCAACTTATTAGGATCCTCAAACGTCACACTGTTCAAGTCACTGCCAATTTTAAAAAGTGTTTGAAATTTCCTGTGGGTTGAAGTGGTAATCTAGGTCAATCTATCTGGAAGGGGAAATCGGCAGCTCTTAACAAGCCTACAGCCAGGAGGATGGAGATCAGGTGTGTCAAGGCCCTCTAATTTTCAGCAAGGGAAAAAGCAGATCCAGGTACGATTCAAATCCACAGAAAAAAATCCAAAATACCATTAAAACTTTGTTTTTTGCAAAGATGAAATAAATGAATTTGGACCTTCTCTCAGTCTGCCATATGGCTCCAAATAATATCTCTATTACACTTGAGTAAAGGAAATTATTTTAAAGGGACAAGCCCATACATTGGCGAAATTAGCCTTGTAAGACTTCGTGTGCAGAAATAAACAAGAAACGCATACAAAGTGAAATGTGCAAACATTTGAAAAATAGCCGTAGCTGTTGCTTGATTAAACATTTGAAATACTTTTCAGCCTGCGGAATTTCTTCGTCCTTCTCCCTTTCCCCACCGCTGATTCCTTAGCTGGCAAGGACTGAAAGAGGAAGAAAACCCCAAGGAGCTGTATTTAGATAACTCTCTTAACAACAAAGCGCTCTCGGGGACCGCTTGCCCAGTCCTAGGCCCAGCGCTCCAGGGACTCACTTGACAAGTGCCAGGCCCGAGGCGCTTTCCTACTCCCCTCGCCCCGCGGAAGGGACGGCCAGGCCAGGAGCCAGGACCCGGAGAGCGGAAGCAAGGCAGGGAGAAGTCAGCCGGCGGGGATAGGCCTCAGGGCCGGCCAGGCCCCAAGGCCCAGGCCGCCCGCAGGAAGAGGAAAGCGGCGCAGGTTGGGACGAAGTTCGAAGCCGAGGAGAAAGAGAAGCGAAAGGCGGCGGAGCAGGCAGCGCGGCCGGGCCCAGGCCCGTGCGGAGGGTCGCCGGCCCACTCACCGTCGGGCGTCGGAGCAGCGCCATGAGGAAACGGACAGGCAAGAGTGCCAGCCCCGCCCAGGGAAGGACGCGGACTGGACACAGAGCACTAGCTTCCGCCGCGCCGTTAGGGCTGCGCTCCGGACCCGCAAGCTGGGGATCTTCGAAGAAGTCGACTAGTTCCAGGATTCAAATACCGCGCCGCTCGCGCCCCCATTGGGCGGCCCTACGTACGACGCGCTCTTCCCATTGGCTAGTCAGGAGGCCCTTCCGCAGGCTGATTGGATGAATTTGCCAGACCCGTTTGTTGTCATAACAACAGGTTGTTTTTTTCTGCTTGGTGTATTTTAAAAAAATCTCGGCTCGTAAGGTAAACAAAAATAAAATTCCTCACTAGAAAAGCAGACGTAGGACGCCTTCTCTGGATTTTGACGCGACCTCAATTACGGATGTCTGCGTTTGTACAGGGTGCGCGGAAGTTGGTTCTACGGAACACCCTATAAATGCCATTTCTGATATTTACTCTTTTTCCATAAGTTTTGCGTTGAAGTTAGGTCGGATTGGCCTGCCTAGGTGGTGGAACAGGCGCCCATGGGTCCTTTAGGGCTGCGCTGTGTTAAGTGGTTGAGATGCAAACGTGTGCTTAAGGAGTGGGAATTGTGGTGTTTACTCTAAAGCTAAGATTCTTAGGAGTTGGGAAAAAAATGATAAATGCGGTTTGTGTGACTTCTGATTCAAGTAAACTCTTCATTGTGTCGCGGAACCTGGCATATCGTTTCGTGTGTGTTGTGATCAGTGCTCAGTAAATATTTGTCGAATAAATTATGATGTGCCGAAGATTTTAAAATGAAAAAAACAACTGAAGTGTGATACAGCCTTGGGCAACAGGGTGGGAGGATCAGGTCAAGACAAGAAAAGAAGAAAGAAAAAGTGAGAGGAAGGGGAAAGAGGAGAGGAAAGGAAGGGTCGAAGGCCCAAAGTAAAGGTAGTGAAATGACTTCTGATGATAGGCTCCCTCTAAGAATTTGAGCAAGATTTCCCATCACTCCTACTCTTTAAAAAATGGTTTATCTCTCTGTTACTGGGGTGCTAATGAGCCTTAAATAAAGTGATCTGAATTAAATTCCTTCCCTTGGATCTAACATGACTACACCTGTTTCCTCTTCAGTTCAGTTGCTAAGTCGTGTCCAACTCTTTGTGACCCCATGGACTGCAGCATGCCAGGCCTCCCTATCCATCACCAACTCCTGGAGCTTACCCAAACTCATGGCCATCGAGTCGATGATGCCATCCAACCATCTCATCCTCTGTCGTCCCCTTCTCCTCCTGCCAGTCTTTCCCAGCATCAGGATCTTTTCAAATGAGTCAGTTCTTCGCATCAGGTGGCCAAAGTATTGGAGTTTCAGTTTCATCATCAGTCCTTCCGATGAATATTCAGGACTGATTTCCTTTAGGATGGACTGCTTGGATCTCCTTGCTGTCCAAGGGACCCTCCAGAGTCTTCTCCAACACCACAGTTCAAAAGCATCAATTCTTTGGTGCTCAGCTTTGTTTATAGTCCAACTCTCACATCCATACATGACTACTGAAAAAACGTAACTTTGACTAGGTGGACCTTTGTTGACAAAGTAATGTCTCTGTTTTTTAATATGCTGTCTAGGTTGGTCATAACTTTTCTTCCAAGAAGCAAGCGTCTTTTAATTTCATGGCTGCAGTCACCATCTGCAGTGATTCTGGAGCCCCCAAAAATAAAGACTCTCACGGTTTCCATTGTTTCCGCATCTATTTGCCATGAAGTGATGGGAACGGATGCCATGATCTCAGTTTTCTCAATGTTCAATTTTAAGCCAACTTTTTCACTCTCCTCTTTCATTTTCATCAAGAGGTTCTTTAGTTCTTTTTTGCTTTCTGCCATAAGGGTGGTATCATCTGCATATCTGAGGTAAAACAGAAATAATTGCAGCTACTAAGTGGCATGAGAAGATGTTAATGTATCCATCATCCTAAAACTAAAAATTAGATATCCAGTGAAGAAGTATTGGGAAGGGAAAATAGATGTTTAGGGCACTGGGCTTGTGAGTAAAATTATACTTTTTCTTTATTGTTATATTTTTGTGGTAATATCAAAAGCTACAACTATAAAACAATCCTTATCAACTCTTAGGGCTTTGTAAACAGAAATGTAACTAATGGTAAAGTGCTTTTATTAACTGATTTGACACTGTTAAAATTGAATAATTTAATTCATATTAGACATACTGTATTTTCATTTAAAGTAGAGGTACTATTTCTTGTGGCTTATCCCTCATTGCAGCTAACCTAGAACCTTACAAATAAACTTTTTGATTCAATCTCTTGTTTAATGCATTATAGTCCTATATTTTTATTTCCTTTTCCCATCTTAGATAACATTGATCACTCTTCCTATATACTAATTTAAATAAACTTTCTCATAGAATCCTCTTAGTCCTTAGATCCCAGTTTTTAGTATTATCCCAATTTGGGGGGCATTTTAAAATTGATGTATAATTGATATACATTAGCTTCATATGTATAACATAATCATGTAATATTTGTATATATCCCAAAAGGATCACAAAGAGTCTCGCTAACATCTGTCATGTGTTATCCCAATCTAACAGATAAAGAAACTAAGACTCAGAACAGTTGTATGTCTTGGCTGCAGTCACGGTCCTTATGGGTTTCAGAGCTAGAGTGTGTACTCAAGTCTGATTTCAAAGTCTCTCCTCTGTATTTACCATTGTCCTCTCATTGGCTTCCCTCATGGCTCAGCTGGTAAAGAATCCACCTGCAATGTGGGAGACCTGGGTTCAATCCCTGGGTTGGGAAGATCCCCTGGAGCAGGGAACAGCTACCCACTCCAGTATTCTGGCCTGGAGAATTCCATGCACTGTATAGTCCTTGGGGTGGCAAAGAGTCGGACTTGACTGAGCGACTTTCACTTTCCCTATTTACATTTGGCAGAAACAGTGGCAAAAGCTTGAAATAGTCATCAAAGGGAATTGAATAGAAAATTAACCAAGGATAAATTTCCTGAAGGCCAGTCTTTCGCAGTATGGTAAACTTCTACATGGTCAATTCACTTTATTTCATTTCTTGGTCAAGTACTGCTTCAAATACTGGAGTGGATATGGAGTGAGGAATATTGCAGGCATAGAATGCACCCTAAGCAAAAGCACAGACCACCAATATTGGACTGGCATGATTGAAGACATGGTGAGTGGTTTCGTTTGGCAGGAGTTATTACGTTTCAAGGTAGGTGTTGCCTAGTATCTTCCAACCGTACAAAAGGAAGTCTGAGACATATTCTGAGATTCCTACACAAATGTTTAGGTCCTGGACTGCCAAACGGGAACTCTTCAGACACTAAGATTCCTCAGTCTAGGATAGAGTCTTACAGTTTTGGCTGTCAGGACTACCCTTCTGAATCACCAGAGATTTGCTTGCTGTTGGTCAGACCCTCTTCACTTCCAATTTCTTATTCAGCTACCAACCTCATTCTCCTCCTTGGGATTCTTTTCTCAGATTTCCAGGACCTTCTCCCATTTTGAAAACTTCACAGTCAGCCAGTCACTGTTGATGCGGAACTCAGGAACTTCAGGAGGAAAAAACTGTCCCTGGGTAGGTCAGAGCTAGAAACCCCACCAACTCTCCTAGAAGACCCATAAATAGGCACCAGGACAATCTTGAGCTCAGCATAGTAACTGCTTAATTTGATCACACATTCCAGCATATAAGCTCCACAAGGGCAGGGGAGTTGGTTTTATGAACCATTCTAACTCTAGTGCCTAGAACAAATAAGACGCTTATTTATTGTTGAATTTTATTAGGATTAATGTGGGTTATGTACTAGATTATCATAAAATTCTGAAAGCTCAGCTCATGATCATAGTCTCTATATCCTTGAAGAATACTTTTTTACTTCTGGGAAACTTTCAGCAGCTGTTGTTCCAGATCACAGTGAGGGCATAAAAGGTCCAATTTAATCCAAATCATTAACAATTACAATTTTCATCAGGTGACTTTTTATCAGAACCCTGCTATTTCCTAATTACTACCATGTTCTCTTCCTCAGTTACTCTTATACCATTTCTATCCCCTACTGTAACTGCCTACCTTTTTCTGATTTCTTCTTCTCTCTCTGAACTAGCTAGAAGATAAATTTGCTATATTAGAATGTCAGTGTTTGCAAGCACTGTAGGAAACACAGGGAAGAATAAAGTATTAGTCATGCCCTCAAGTTCAAAACAAGGAAGAGGAGACACAGGAACAAAATTATTTTAAGAGGCAGAACCTATAAAATACTGAGCACAGTAAGATTAATTCAAAATGGGGGTAGAGGAAGGAAGGCTTACAAAAAAGGGGACATTTGAGCTGACTTTTAAAGGAGGGGTTAGATTTTAGCAAGCAGAGATAGCAAAGGCATTCAAGTAGAAACAATGAGAATCTACAGGAAAACTAAGTAGTCTGAGGCATTTGGATTATAGAAATGTTAACGTTCATCTCTGTACTCCAGCTTGTAGGAGGCTGAGAGGAGCTACCCCAAGTCCAAGGTCAGAAGCGGAGGCCGGGAGGAGATATCCCACGTCCAAGGTAAGGAGCAGCAGCTGCGCTTCACTGAAGCAGCCGTGAAGAGATACCCCACGTCCAAGGTAACAGAAACTCCAGTAACTCAGTAGGCACTGAGAGAGGGCATAAGAGGGAAGACAGTCTGAAACCACAATCACAGAAAACTAACCAATCCGAACACATGGACTACAGCCTTGTCTAACTCAAAGAAACTAAGCAAGGCCACCCAAGATGGACGACTCATAGAGGAGAGGTCTGACAGAATGTGGTCCACTGGAGAAGGGAATGGCAAACCACTTCATATTCTTGCCTTGAGAACCCCATGAACAGTATGAGAAGGCAAAAATGATAGGACACTGAAAGATGAACTCCCCAGGTTGGTAGGTGCCCAACAGGCTACTGGAGATCACTGGAGAAATAACTCCAGAAAGAATGAAGAGATGGAGCCAAAGTAAAAACAACACCCAGTTGTGGATGTGACTGGTGATAGAAGCAAGGTCTGATGCTGTTAAGAGCAATATTACATAGGAACGTGGAATGTTAGGTCCATGAATCAAGGCAAATTGGAAGTGGTCAAACAGGAGATGGCAAGAGTGAACGTCAACATTCTAGGAATCAGCGAACTAAAATGGACTGGAATGGGTGAATTTAATTCAGATGACCATTATATCTACTACTGTGGGCAGGAATCCCTTAAAAGAAATGGAGTAGCCATCATGGTCAACAAGAGTCCGAAATGCAGTGCTTGGATGCAGTCTCAAAAACAGAATGATTTCTGTTCATTCCCAAGGCAAGCCATTCAATAACACAGTAACCCAAGCCTATGCCCCAACCAGTAACACTGAAGAAGCTGAAGTTGAACGGTTCTATGAAGACTTATAAGACCTTTTAGAACTAGCACCCAAAAAAGATGTCCTTTTCATTACAGGAGACTGGAATACAAAAGTAGGAAGTCAAGAAACACCTGGAGTAACAGGCAAATTTGGCCTTGGAGTACAGAATGAAGCAGGGCAAAGGCTAATAGAGTTTTGCCAAGAGAACGCACTGGTCATTGCAAACACCCTCTTCCAACAACACAAGAGAAGACTCTACACATGGACATCACCAGATGGTCAACACTGAAATTATATTGATTATATTATCTGCAGCCAAAGATGGAGAAGCTCTATACAGTCAGCAAAAACAAGATCAGGAGCTGACTGTGGCTCAGATCATGACTCCTTATTGCCAAATTCAGACTTAAATTGAAGAAAGTAGGGAAAACCACTAGACCATTCAGGTATGACCTAATCAAATTGATTAATTATATAGACGTAAAAGACATTTCAACTAATTACACTGTGCTCTGAGAATGATTGTGCCCTTCTGGATGGCCAAAATCCCAAATATTTGGGACAGTCTTGGGCAAACCAGAGCAGTGTGTCACCTTATGTGACATAATTGGTCACTATCAATAGGAATTTAGCCAAATCAAAGTATTTTCCAACTAGATTAGTTTTCCAAGTCTTTATACCAGGTACTCTTGTACTCTTAAGTACCATACCTGTGTTCTGGTTTATCAGAGTGCTTTCAGAACCATACAATCGAGTCAAAAGGAAAGTCTGTTGCATGTGTCTAACTTGTGCTGTGTGCTTAGTTGCTCAGTCGTGTCCAACTCTTTGTGACCTCATGGACCGTAGCCAGGCTAACCCACCAGGCTAGCACCAGGTGTAGTAATGGGGGAGGGTGCATGGTGACTGCAGCCACGAAATGAAAAGACACTTGCTCCCAGGAAGGAAGGCTGTGACAAACCTAGACAGCATGTTGAAAAACAGAGATATCACTTTGTCAACAAAGGTGCATATAGTCAACGCTATAGTTTTTCCAGTAGCCATGTATGGATGTGAGAGTTAGACCACAAAGAAGGCTGAGCGCTGAAGAATTGATGCTTTTGAACTGTGGTATTGAAGAAGACTCTTGAGAACCCCTTGGACTGCAAGGAGATCCAACCAGTTCATCTTAAAGGAAATCAGTCCTGAATATTAATTGGAAGGACTGTTGCTGAAGCTCCAATACTTTGGCCACTTGATATGAAGAATTGACTCATTGGAAAATATCCCGATGCTGGGACAGATTGAAGGTGGGAGGAGAAGAGGGTGACGGAGGAAAAGATGGCTTCATGGCATCACCATGGACATGAGCTGAGCAAACTCTGGGAGATAATGAAGGACCAGGAAGCCTGGCGTGCTGCAGTCCATTGGGTCACAAAGAGTCAGATAAGACTGAGCGACTGAACAACCAAGAGTCCATCAGCCCTGGTTTAAAGTTGTTGTTCTGAAAGCCGCCACAAGGTGGCAGAATTTCTTCATGTCTGGCTCTGGTTCACTCAGGCAACCGGAGCCTTAGTGAAAACGCTGTTCCCGGATTGTCAGAGGGAAGGAATCACCAAAAGCTTGTTTGTGTCTCATGACTTCTTCCCCGTTACAGTTTATTCCTGGGACACATCTCAGTTCTTGAAACCATCTTCTGCGCAGTGTGCTGTCACCGTAGGTGGGGGGACCTAAGAATGGAGGCGGAGGTGGGAGCCCCGGGGACTCCTAGAGCTCTCCCAGCCCAGAGGCTGCCCCGTCCTAGTCCTCGGGGCGCACGGGGCGCAGTGGGCTGGCTTCCTCTACAGGACCTGGAGGCCGTGGCCGGTGAAGAGGTGGCAGGTGCTCCGGTCTATGAGCGGATGGCTGGCCACCCGGGCCAGGATACTCTCCTCTGCTCCCTCGGACACAGGGCTTCCGAGCCTCGGCCCCAGGCTGCTTGGGCTCCAGAGATCTGACATCAGCCGAAGGGGACTGGAGTAGACATTTTTTCTTCTTCTTTTTTTTTTTTCGTTTTCAAGTATAATGTGAATTGGAGTTTGTAGGTGAATTACAATGTTGTGTTTTGTTTTGTTTTTTTCTTTTCTATATCCAGCAACTTGATTCAGTTATACAAAGACAGACGTACGCTTTTACCTGTCCTTTTCCCATACAGCTTATTACAGAGGATCGAGTAGCTTCCTTGTGCCATACAGCCTGTGGATTATTATATAAATAGCAGGGTGCATGTGTTAATATGAGCCATGTTATTTCCTCTGGCCCCTCATCTTTCTCTTTTGGTAATCATAAGGTTCTTTCCTAGGTCTGTCTCTGTTGGGTAAAGACATTCATTTTGTATCCATTATTAGATTCTACCTGAAAGTGATATCATATGATACTAGTCTTTCACTGTCTTCCTTATTTTACTTCATCTGATCAGCTCTACTTTCTTTCCTGTGACTGGAAATGACATTACTTTATCCTTCTTTGTGGCTGAGTCAAGGCTGTATATTGTCACCCTGATTATTTAACTTATATGCAGAGTACATCATGAGAAACGCTGGACTGGAAGAAACACAAGCTGGAATCAAGATTGCCGGGAGAAATATCAATAANCTCATTTGAAAAGATCCTGATGCTGGGAAATATTGAAGGCAGGAGGAGAAGGGGACAACAGAGGATGAGATGGCTGGATGGTATCACCGACTTGACGGACATGAGTTTGAGTAAACTCCAGGAGTTGGTGATGGACAGGGAGGCCTGGCATGCTGGGATTCATGGGGACGCAAAGAGTCAGACATGGGAGCGACTGAACTGAACTGAACTGATGATTACAGCTGAACTAGGACCATAAACAGGACACGGCAGCAATCTAAGAGCAGAACACAGATGAACAGATAAAGAAGATGGGGTACCTAGACATAATACAGTATTATTCAGCCATTAAAAGGGATCAAATAATGACATTTCCAGTCACAGGGAAGAAAGTAGAGGTGATCATTCTGAGTGAAGTAAGGAAGACAGAGCAAGACAAGAATCATATGGCATCATTTCTAGGTGGAATCTAAAAATGGAGACACATGAACTTCTTTACCAAAGAGAAAGGGCCTCACTGACATGGTTCCCAAAAGAAGCTTACAGTTCCCAAGGAGGAAAAGTGGAAGGCAGGGAGAAATGAGCTGGTTCAGATTAACATACACACACTACTCTTTATAAAACCATCCACAAGGACCCACTGCATAGCACAAGGAACCCTCCTCAACACTCCGTAATGACTTACATGGGAAGAGAGCCTGAATAAGGACATGATGTGTCCAGCTATGCATGACTCACACCTGGAAGGACACCCCTCACTCATCACTGTGCTCAGTCACTCAGTTGTGTCTGACTTTCATGGACTGTAGCCTGCTAGTCTCCACTGTCCATGGAATTTTCCAGGAAAGAATACTGGAGTGGGTTGCCATTTCCTTCTCCAGGGCATCTTCCTAACTCAGGGATCAAGTCTGAATCTCTTGCATTGAAGGAGGAAACAGACAGAACAGGCTTCATCTTGAAAGCAGGACTCCATCTTGGGCCAGGCTGTGGACTTTGAGCTCTATGCCCCGTATCTATGAAAACAACACACCAACTGGAAAACCAGACCCCCTCCCCCCATGGAAGAGCCCCAGGTCTCACACCTAGACTCTCCGTTGCCTAAAAGAACACCCTGATTATCTGTGTAACCGAATGGAATCACAAATTCTATTATGCTTATTGGGGTATGACCACAGGCCTATTGATAATTGTCCACTGTTAACTACCTAGGCTTAAGGCATATGAATCAAGGATGTGAAAGATACAAATTGTATCTTTCTTTCCTTTGTTCAGACTAGTTCAGAGAATTTGGGGAGGTGGGTTTGACCACATACACTTAGGGTATATGAGGTTTCCACAAAAAGCTGGTCGGGGTCCTTGGCTAAGAGGAGACTCTGCCTTGGGCCTGCCAGTGTACAAACTGCACTCCACTATCTGCATTGTCCTTCTGAGTGAGTTTGTTTCCTAGAATGTGGGATTACAACACTAGTATTGCAAGTCCCCACTTTCTGAGACTAGATGACCTACGAGATCTAGACTTTGCAAGGGGAAAGCTGAGTTCCAGAGGCAAAAGGAAAAGGAGGTTATGTAAAATTATAACTTTTCCTCTTCAACACTACTAGGGAATTACAAATTAAAAGCATGAGATGTCACACCACACCTATTAGGAC